CTCCGAGTCTATATGTGAACAAGTGATGTTTAATAGCTTAGGAATAATTTCAAGTCAAATTCTATGAATTTGGTTTGATATTTCGAATATATCTTGCTTATCTTGTTTACCGTTGACCTCTGATAAATTTTTATTTCCGATAATGAAAACACTGATGACTACCAGTGGCAAGAAGCGTCGACGGGCGAGAAGAGCACGGCCGCCTTCATCGCGGTGCGGAAGCGCTCGTGGGGCAAGTTCGCCGCGGAGATCCGCGACTCCACGCGCACCGGCGCGTGTGGCTAGGCACCTTCGACGCGCCCAAGGACGCAGCGCTCGCCTACGACCAGGCCGCCTTCTCCGCGCGCGGCGCCGCCGCCGTGCTGAACTTCCCCGTCGAGCGCGTGCAGGAGTCGCTGGGGGCCCTCGCGCTTGTCGTCGCCAACGGGGGCTCCCCCGTCCTGGTGCTCAAGGGTCGCCACTCCAAGCGCACGCGCAAGAGCAAGCTCTCTCCCCCAAGCAAGAAGCAGCGTAGCGGGGCGATGGTCGTTCCCCAGAGGCGGCAGGAAGTGCCGTCCGCTCGGCATGATGGCGTGGTGGAGATCGAGGACCTCGGCTCCGATTACTTGGAGGAACTCCTCCGGGTATCGTCCGAGTGGCACTATTAGGAGTAATGGATATGCACCCGTCGATCGAGCAGAAGCTGCCAGGGCGATCCGTCGATTAGAGACTTACAGCCTGTTCGGGAGGCCGTGTCGTATCGTGGATTATTTACTGCTGGCTGGTTTGGTGTGAGAGAAAAACATTGTTCCCGGCTGGAAATTTACGATCGTTTACGAGCAAGCGAACAGGCTGTTAGAGTAGAGAACAACTCCTTGCCAAGAGCTGGACATGGTCATGCTTCTACCTGTAATTTGTAGTTTTTATTTTTTACCCCCCAACTAAAAGTCTTGACTGCATTCTAGCTCCCCTACTGGTCCGAGAGAGCTTTCAAATATTTGTCCCACGTTTCGTCCGTGAGGGTACTCCTAAGAGATTGAAGACGTGTATTAATTTCTTTGTATTTGTTTTTTCCTTGTTCTCTCTGTATCCTTTTTTTTTTTTTGCATTTTGAGAACGAGGTTCACTATTATGTCATATTGCACGCAATAAAACTTCGGGCAAATAAAGTGAGGAGCTTAATCCCTAATATTATAGGAATAATTTGTAGAGGTGACTACAAATATTTATAGAAGTGATTAGGACATCCGTCCCTATCTCTCTATTTATAGAAATCACGGATTTTTAGAGGTGTTTATCCAGAGGTCCCTAGAAACTAATTTCTAGAGACAGGCTCGGAGCAACAATGGCCTATTGAGACTAATTTTTAGAGGCGGATGGTTCCCGGCCATCTTTAGAAATCATATTTTAGTGTCGGCTTGGAACTCCAAATGCCTCTAAAAACTTATTGTTTTGAGACGACTCTATTTTTAACTATGCCTTGAATCAATTTCAACAGTATTAATATTCTCAATAAATTTGAGATTCTTTGCTCCCTGAAAACATAGAGATGGCTTGGGTTTCAAGCCGCCTCTGCAAACATGTTCAGCACATAGAATTATTCAAATTGGCCACCTCATCATTCATATTTTTGGGGTATATATATGGGCTTGTCCCAATAGATAATTTAAAATTATTTCAAGTATGGTCCTTTTTGATAGGGCTTTTATTACATCTTCTCCACCAGCTTAACCAAAAGTCGGACAAAATAAGCACAAACGAGAACAGCTTTTAAAGAAAAAACCAATGCACAAATGGTTAGGTGGAAGCCGTTTTTTAGCAAAAGCCAAAGCGGCCAACATGTGGCTTCTCTTCTGACCTAACTGTTTTTGGAAAAACCCAAGTCCTACCAAAGAGGCATAAATCTCATGGGCTAAGTTCTCGTGGAACTTCACAGGTTTGTATACCCACCATAAGTACCTTTACAGTGTGCTCAGGCCATGCCCACCATAGCAGGTCTGAGCTGCTAGTTGGTGCAGCCAATGGAGGCAGCCAGGCTACGACTCTAAGGCCCTGTTTGGTTTTGGGGAATTTCTTGTGTGCTATTAAAAAAGATCGCAATGCCCTGTGAACCTCTGTAAAAGATCAGTGGTCTTCAGCGCCACTGCTCTAACTTTATTGTGTCCTCCATGCCACTGCCATCAGTTTGGGTTCTAACGCCGTCAAACTGCATGTGTGAAAAGTCGAAAATACCCTTAAGTCTAAATATGTCATTAATTTTTTTGAGCATCTTAACGATTTCAAATGAAAAAACTCAAAACTAGAAAGTTGTAGATCTTGTCGAGATCTATAATTTTTATATAAAATTATCTTTATTTAATTCCGCAAAAAAATGATTTTTCTAAGATATATTAATCATATCAAATCATATTTTTTTGCGGAATTAAATGAAGATAATTTTTATATGAAAATTATAGATCTCGACGAGATCTACAACTTTTTAGTTTTGAGTTTTTTTATTTGAAGTCGTTAAGATGCTCAAAAAAATTAATGACATATTTAGACTTAAGGGTATTTTCGATTTTCACACCTGCAGTTTGACGACGTTAGAGCCCAAACTGACGGCAGTGGCATGGAGGGCATAAAAAAGTTGGTGCAGTGGCACTGAAGACCGCTGAACTTTTCCAGAGGCTCACAGGACATTGCGATCTTTTTTAATTGCACACGAGGAATTTCCCCTTGGTTCTTTAAGCGTGTCCTAAAATTCCTGTCACATCAAATGTTTGACACATGCATGGAGTATTAAATATAGACTAATTACGAAACTAATTGCACAACTTGCGACTAATTTGCGAGACGAATCTTTTAAGCCTAATTAGTCCATGGTTTGACAGCATGGTGCTACAGTAAACATGTGCTAATGATAGATTAATTAGGCTTAAAAAATTCGTCTCGCAAATTAGTCTCCATCTATGTAATTGGTTTTGCAATTAATCTATATTTAATGCTCTTTATTAGTATCTAAACATTCGATGTGACATGAATTTTAGAAGCGACTAAAGAACCAAACACCCCGTGTTACCCTTGCTGTAGCCTACTGCATAGAGGCTTGGGATGCCCTACCCTCTGAACGGCAACACGCTGACATAGTGCAGAGCTTCTGTCACTGGTGAGAATGTCGAAAAAAATATTAATTACTAATGCCATGTTCGCTTGGCTAATAAGTCATGGCTGAAAGTACTGTTGGCTGATTTATTATGAGAGAAAAATAATATTCGTTGGCTAAAAAAGTACGACTTATAAACCAAGCGAACATGACGTAAATTGATGAAGCAATTGGCATCTTCTACCAAAAAGTAATACAGATGGCATACCAAGAATGTCATCCTAGATTTGGTTCCATTTCCTATATGTACTTAGAATAGGTATGTACCTATTTGTTTGAAAAAAAAAGGTACCTACCTTAAAGTTTCCATTCTTTTGACATGTCAGCCAACAAAAAAAGTTACAAACATGGAAAGATACACACCAGCAGGACAATAGAACCATTCTTCACACACCAACATGACAATAGATTTTGCCAATTTCGTTGATTCAACCTGAAAGCTATAGAAAATCATTGTAGTTGAACCATACCTTACAATTAAACCACCAATCAGAATAGAGGCAAACCGCTTTGTTGCACACTCCCCTGGTCCAACTGTAAATCGGATACCAGTGTAGATCATCAGACCTTTAGATGGCTGGGCAAGTATATTTAAAAAATTATAGCTTATATAAGGATAACTAACTACTCAGTTTAGGGCTATGAAATCAACGCTATGGATAGAAAATTTCCATTTTTCACATGTCAGCCAAAAAAAAAAAAAGCTACACACATGGAAAGATACACACGAGCAGGACAATAGAACCATTCTTCACACACCTCTCAAAGGCTCAGCCGCACCCACCTCCAGTCCAGTCCAGTCGCTACACGCCTAGGCCCCCTCGCTGCGCACACCAGCCCCGCCATCATCTCCCAGCTCGGGCTGGGCGGCACCGCCATCTGCTCGCCGGCGTAAGCCCACCCACCACCTCGACCTCTACTGCTACTCCTGCTTCCATCTGCAGACTAGAAGCTAACCCCAAATCCCTCACACAGTACTCATCCGTATACCCTAAATCCAATTGTTGCCCCCAAATTCCACAAATCAATCTGCTTGCCCCTTCGATTCCCCCCTCCCTCCTTAATCACTAGCTTTATAGATTAATCCTCCAGCTGCAGATCCGTGCTCCATACCCCTCTTTGGATCCAATCAGGGCAGCATATAAGGTAACACGAAAAAGATGGAAGAAAGAAGGGTTGTTTTTGCATTTTTTTTGTTTCAATCCTTTGCTTGAGAGGTCACGAATTGAATCTGGGCTATCAATTTTGATTCCAGCTATAGGATTTGATGAGATGTTGGCGAAATCTTGCTGCATCCCCCTCCATGAATCCAAGTAAGGCAGCCTAAGGTAAGGGAGGTGGAAGAAAGAAAGGACTGTTGCAAAAAAAAAAAATCAGTTTCCATTCTGTGATTGTAGGGTTCACCATTTGCATTTAGTTTTGTGGTTTTTTATCAACCTGTAAGACAGTAGAAAGTTTGGAAGGGCCACTTTTGTAGTGTTAGAAGAGAACTTCTGAACTGTAACATGCTCTGTTATGTAAAGCTGTAAGATTAAGTACTTTATCACACACAGGCTTTGCTTGTTATGTAAAAATGCAAAAAAAAAAAAAAAATCATTGCACTTCTGTGGATGTAATTTTGTACTTTGTGATTTAAATAACCTTCTACAGAGAAGAAGATCATACAGATCAATTGCTTATTAACTTGCTGGGATAAGGTAGGTAAGTCATACATGTCATTCTTCTTCCACTCTGCAAGTTTTTCATATATTTTATCTACTGCCTTTGAGTGCTGAAAAAATGTCTCAGTTAGTTCTACATTGCTGTTTTTCTATTTCATATTAAGTATGCAATAGATATTAAATAGTTGACTAAAACTGAAACTACCAAAGAATTGATGGACAAGACCACAGATTTGGAACTATTAAACCGCATAAAGTTAGATGATCAGGATTTGGAATTATTAAACCGCATAGAATTAGTTAGCTTTGAGGATGATGATGAACCAATGCAAGTGGAAGAGGACTTAGAGAGGAGAAAATTCTCCTCACTCCAGAAGGAGACATGTAGGTTTCTCATGTGTAATTTATATTTCTTTGCAATGACTATTTAATGTGCTGCTTAAAATGATCTATTATCATGTTTCTGGGTGGTTCAGATGGCCAGATGAAGCGGGTGGAGGAATGTTTCTGGGTAAATTTGGTGCCTTCTATTTTATTATCATGTACCTTGTTATCGGCTTAAAATTTATTGCTTCGACATGATCTATTCTATTGCAGTTGTCGTTCAGATGGCCAGATGGCAAGGAGAATGCAGCTCGGAGAGTAGTGCGGAATGTTGTAAACAAGCTCATACCACAAATGTTCTATGAGGGGTGCATCCAATCTGTCATCACTTACTACAATCCTGTTCTTGGCAGGAAGATCTGACTAAGGAGGAATATATGCAGGTCATGTCCTGCCCTTTAATTTTAGTATTAGCTACTGGATAAGTGTGCCTAAGATTTTTTTTGATTCAGGCAATACCTTGGTGGGCACAGAAGGCCCCAGAAGCATGGGAGTTGGCTGCAGAACTGAGGTGGTGCAACGAAGCTTGGAAAGTGAAGTCTGATGCAGCAAGGGCTTGCAGACAAATGATGCGAGGAGCAAGTCATCGTCAAGGAAATTGTTCACATGCTCGATGGAAGAAGAAAATGGTATGTAAATTCTCTAATGTGCTAGCTGCTACCAACACATCCTTGTGTTTGGCTGTAAACTGAAGTTACATTCATAACATAAATGCATGATTTCATCTGTCATATGATTTCTTTAGTGAAATTAGTTAACCAATATTCATTTATAATTTTGGATGTAGATCATTCAAACACAACTGAATATTCCAATACCTCCACTGTTACTGCCATCACAAAATGGATCATCTCATCAGTTTTGTACAGTTTGTACCATGTGATGTCACTTTCCAAATTCAGTGATCTAACTTTTTTCTGAAAATGGAGGGACATCTGGAGGATTAGGTGTAGGCCCTGCAGAAACTGGTGCACTGATTCGTAGCTGGCCGGAATACGCGGGGTTCCACTGATTCGTACAAAGTTATCGGGGTCGCATGACCCCGACACATGCACTGTGGCTTCGCCGCTGCGCGTAGGTGTTAGTGGTTGCTGCATCACAGTTGTATGTTGTGGATGGTAAGTAATGTCATGTGTTGATGTACCTATGTATAGGGAAGAAGGCCCGATGAGCTGCTGCTATCTGAGTTCTGTGCGTACTTGGAATGGGCACCGTACGTTGGGCAATGAAGTTCTTTGTTGGCTACAAAACAGATAGAAGAACAATTACTTGATGGTATTGTATTTGATGTCTCAGCTTTAGGGTAATGCCACCTCTATGGACTTCCCAGTAGGCTTCTTCTAGCAGTTCCGTATCAACGCCTTGTTGCACTGCTGTTGTGTAATGAGAAGAAGCATTAGAAACAAGAGTGAATTATTGGCAAATATTTCGTTAGTGTAAAGCAAAACTGAAGTATGTAGTTAGTACCTGTGTCGTACGATTCGTCGGATCCAGGTGATTCAGGTGGGGAATCATCAGCTCTAAGTGTTGGTGCCTCGGAACAAGGGTATGTTTACATGTTGATAGGAAAAGCCACGTTGCGCACAGTGTGGCTGTCTCTATATTGGAAGGTAAGATGACCGGATTTTGGGATAGAGTGTCTGTGAAAGGCAAGGGCAAAAGACCTTTTTTTTTTATTGCTAATTGGGTCGGGACAAAACTTACGTTAGACACGAAGAAAGGTTAATTGGACCCAAACAAGATAATATCTCAATTGGTCATAAAATGGAATTGCTGATAACTTAAGCTAGAGCTATCAAAACAGTGAACCTGAACATTGCTTTCGTCCACATGTTTCAAAGGTGATTGAGCAAATACAAAAATGCATGCTAAATTAGATAATCTAAATGGGCGATTATCAAATATTGCAAGTTCACAGTAATCTGTGTATGGCATACATGTATTTGAAATCGTAGATATGGATATGGAAGGAATACCTACGTCACCACACATGTATAGTTTTAGAGGTGCAACTATAAAGATCTTTTTTTTTTAACGGGAGTTCAATCTAGAAATAGCTAACAACTGAAAAGGGGCATTCAAAGTTGTGGTGATAAGCACATAATAAACACAGATGAGAATTATTGTGCAAAATTGTTAACCAAGTGTAAGCCCTTTTTGGAGGGTCCATTGTTATACGAAGGCTGGAGACAATGTCCAGAGCAGCTATATCTGTGTAAGAACTTACAGATTTTTGTTTGTAAGCAGCCAACAAAAAGAATAACTATTGTAGATTTGGTGGGTCTGTAAACACCATCAACGCTGAAATCCTTTCCTTCTGCACCCCATAGGGTTATTTTGAGCTCAGTGTCCTTGCAAAATATGCAAATAGCCTTTTTGTCCCCATATGTCGATCTAAAAAAAAACAAATTATTATGAAGATGCAAGGTGTTGAGCAGGTACTGAAAGGTTTTTTTAAGTAACAACACTTATTACAGATCTTTTATCAACAATTTTCTAAGGGTAGTTAACTTGTCCTTGCCTCTAGAAATTGTATAGGAACTGGCGGCTGAGTATCAGTGATGAAACCAACGACATCTGCGTGTATCTATGTTTTTAAATAAAGAATCAATGGCGTCCATGTACAATGGTAAATAAAAATAGGATCACAAATGGCAAAACAGGATGTCAATATTTACTGCAAGGGAGGATTGTGCATGCTGTATGTGAGTGCACCGAAATTGGAATGGCTGTTAACTGTGTGTTCCATGGAATTTTAGTGGAGTCATAGTCATATACGAACAGTAAAAAAACAAGGTGGCTATCAGGTGCCCGTAATTAGAATAGCCATGTTTGGATCAGGAAGGAGAAGATGAGAAGAGGAAGTAGGCATAACCAAGTGCAGCAAATACGAAAAGATTTTTGAATTGGTGGCAGAGGCTGTATAAAATCTCTAGTTTCAAATTGGTAGCAGAGGCTATATTAAATTTGTAGATCATGTTTGCGCTGTGATATAATAATTCAGGATATATGGCCCTGATTCTAGCAGAGGGCATACAAGGAGTTATCATGTGAAGATGCATGAACAGCTTATAATTTGTAGTGACCACAAAAAAACGCGATATATGGCCCTGATTCTTGCAAAGGGTCCACGGAAGTTTGAGACAGTGTTCGCCTAAACGGCCAGTAAACGGTAAACGGTGGTAAACTGTCTTGTTTAGGGGGTAAACGGAAATTAAACGGTTGACCGTTTAAATGGTCAAAAAAACGGGAAAAAACGGTCTAAACGGAGATAAACAACATTAAACGGGTTAAACGGCTGTTTAGGCGAACACGAGATAAATCTAGTTCAGTTTTGTATGGATAAATTTGTATACTTAAGTTTATTATATTTATAAATGTGTACACTTGATATGTTACATGCATAAATATCTATATTTGGTTCTTTTCACATGCATAAATATATATACATACCAAAATAATTGATTTTTACTCGGATAAATATGTATAAATGCTAGAATACTTGATGTTTTACATGCACATATATAATTATATGTATTTTTTTTAAAGTACAAAACCATTTAGACCATTTAACTTCGTTTAAACACCGTGTAAACAGCCTAAACGCTAAACGAAGGGCAACCGTGTAAAGACCGTTTACCGTTTAGGAAAACATTGGTTTGAGATCATATTTAAGTCTGAGATTATGGCTGTAATTGTAATGTTTCATGAGTTAGCATCCATATCTGTAGTCGCTGCTGCTAAAGGGGAAACTAAAGGTAACCAGAAAAACGTGGTAATTATTTTTATTCGGAATATATGTAGTATCTGTTCAAGAATCACTTCAGAATATTTTTTTTGACATACAGAAAGGGCACCTAGAATTTTGTACGGAGCATTTCTCAGTTACACATGGTATTGCCAACTATAAAAATTTGTCAATCCTACAGGAGGTTAATTTCTGAATATCTACCAAATCTTTCAAACATACAGGAATTTTCATATGGCATACATGTGTTTGAAACCACACCTGTGAATTTGAAAGAGAAATTCAAGGGAGGGCTGGAAAAGAAAAGGGATGTGAACTTACCAATCACTAAGGAATATGATCAATTTTTTATCTGAATCATGAAACCCTCAAATGGAAATTTGCAGGAACAAATCTTGTCGTAGAGAGGTCTGAGCTGCTAGTTGGTGCAGCCAATAGAGGCAGCTGGGCTACGACTCTAAGTGTTACCCTTGCTGTAGCCTACTGCATAAAGGCTTGGGCTGCCCTACCCTCTGAATGGCAACAAGCTGACATAGTGCAGAGCTTCTGTCACTGGTGAGAATGTCGAAAAAAATATTAATTACTAAATTGATGAGGCAATTGGCATCTTCTACAAAAAAGTAATACAGATGGCATACCAAGAATGTCATCCTAGATTTGGTTCCATTTCCTATATGTACTTAGAATAGGTATGTACCTATTTGTTTGAAAAAAAAGGTACCTACCTTAAAGTTTCCATTCTTTTGACATGTCAGCCAACAAAAAAAGCTACAAACATGGAAAGATACACACCAGCAGGACAATAGAACCATTCTTCACACACCAACATGACAATAGATTTTGCCAATTTCGTTGATTCAACCTGAAAGTTATAGAAAATCACTGTAATTGAACCATACCTTACAATTAAACCACCAATCAGAATAGATGCAAACCGCTTTGGTGCACACTCCCATGGTCCAACTGTAAATCGGATACCTGTGTAGATCATCAGACCTTTAGATGGCTGGGCAAGTAAATTAAAAAAATTATAGCTCACATAAGGATAAGTAACTACTCAGTTCAGGGCTATGAAATCAACGCTATGGATAGTGAAGATTGAAGAGTGTAAACTGAAACTCGACCTACAGCAACCAGAGAGGGAGAAGCAGAGAGGGGAGGAAGGCACCACCGCAGCAGGGATGAAGAAGCGGAGGCAAGGGAGGGCAGGACACGGTGAAGGGAAGCGTTCGGAGACGGGGACGGACGCCAGAAGGCCCGCCGACCCTGTAGACTGTCCCGCGGGCGTCCACCATCTCTCGCACAATCACCAGCGCAAAAGGGAAGATGTAGGGAGAGAAGATATGGGGGAGGAGCCATGAGACGGAGGAGGAGAAGAGGAGGGTGAGGTACCGCGTCACCGCGCCGCCGAGCTGAGCCGCCGCCGCTGCCTCTGTCGAGGAAGAGGTGATGCGCAGCCGGGGCCGAGCACAGGCACATAGGGTTTCGTCGAGAACAGGAGCACACGCAGGCCGGCAGGTGGAAGCCGCGTCGGGGGGGCACCCGCGCCGGCGGCAACCGGCGGGGCCCACGCGCGCCGCCGGACCGCACCACATGCGCCGGGCCGCCCGCGCCGTGCCGCCATGCGGCCACGCGGATTGGCTGCACGAGGGTGCACGGGCAGAGCCGGGGGTGGGCCGCGGACGCGGGCACCGGTGGTGGCCGGCGCGACTTGCTGCCGTGGCGGAAGGCTAACGCTGAGCCGCGCGCGCGGTGCGTGGAGTCGCGGCTGTCGGGATGATGAGGGGACTCAGATTCGGTTCGTACCTTTCGGCCTCCTATCCACCGTTCAAAAGAATCCATCCGCTTAAACAAAAATTCCATCTCCCTCGTGGGGATATTTAACTTTCTACTATTATAACATTTGACCACTCCTCGGATAGCAGATTTAGAATTGGCGCTACGATTTTAGTAGCTGAGAGAGAAAACGATACATTTTTACACAATTGCTGGCGTGGCACGCCACCTCAGGTGGCCACCGTGGTAGGCGAAGGGAAAATGACCGTCCCTGCCCCTGCCCTCTCTATCCCTCCCCACGCGCGGTCCGGCCCACTCCAGCTCGTCCTTCCGCTCCTCCTTTCTTCTTCCTCCCGCTCTGCTCGCCGACGCCACCACCCAACGCCGCCGCACACCCCGCCGCGCCCAACGCCGCCCCCCACCGCGAGCCATGTCCCAGTACGCAGCCAGCTCCTCTGCGGGAAGGGCCAGGAGTAGGCTGCAGCAAGGGATCCAGAGCTCCAGCACTGCTTCCATGACCATGGATCCGGTTGGTGAGCTTAGTGGCTTCCCGCTGATCATGTGCCCGGACTGCGGTATTGCTAGGATGGTGGAGGGGCGGACGAAGAAAGACAGCGAAAACCACGGCCGTCTGTACTTCAAATGCGCGAGGAACGGGGTGAGTTCTGTATAATCTCATCTATTCCCCCTCGCTGGCATTTAGGGCTCTAAATCTCCCTCTAATCCTAGTTGATATTTCCAGTACCCGAAGCTTTGTGGATACTACCGATTCGAGAAGGGATATTTTTAGGATTTGCAGCGTAACGGCATTATCCTGGTTCGGCCGTCGAACTGGGAAGAGATGAGCATGTCACAGGAAGAGGAAGTTGACGGTCCAAATGGTGACAAGAGGGGTGACAAGAAGGGGAAAGACTTGGAGGAGAAGATGGAGTCACTGATTTGGCAGATGAACATGTTCATTGCCTGTGTTGTATACTTTGTAGTTGGATGTGTACTGATGTATGTTGTTAGGAAGTGACAATGTAGGCATGTTTACTGATGTATGGCTACTGCAATGATGTAATGAAGTGACAATGCATGAATGAATGGCAATGAAAAATGTGTTTGAATGAAAATAAAATGTCTGGTTTCATGCATCTGTGTTCAGATTTTGGCCATATCAAATCCAGCATAGCAGTTCACAATAGGCAGATAGCATGAACCAAATAAGCTCAAACACAGTGATCAGAAGGTCTTAGTCACACAAAAGAGACAATTTTTGGGCCTTTACAACCAAAATGAACATGTCACAGATGTTGCTCTCATTTCTTCCCCTTTTTGGCTGGGCTCTTCCTCATTCAGCACTTGCTGTTTCATCGACCTCATTCAACACCTGTAGATCCTAGCAGAGGTTCCTATTTAAAGGACATACCAAGTGTTAGTTGATATTCATAAATATGCAATTTTATAAGTAGGGCATACCTTCTAGTTGCTGCATTGGTTGAGGGTGGTGCATGTTGAACCTCAATTGGAGCCACATCTAGGACTTCTCTCTCTGCAGCTGCTGCAGCTTTAGTTGCTACAGAAGCTTTAGCTGTAGCTTCCTGAGCCTCCCTAGCTACCTTACTTGTTGCTTCTCTAGCCATTGCTGCCCTTGTTCTTGGTGTATTTTCTCCACTAGGAGGAGGGTCTGTCTGCCTCTTCTTCCTTCTAGGTTTAGGGGCTGATTTTTTAGTCCTTTTCCTGCAATGTAGTTGTTAGGGTCTATGGTTAACTCTTATAATTGTACTTAACAGTAAGGGCAGTACATTACCTTTTCTTGGTGCCGGTCAGTGAACACCTCCAGCTTCCACTCCTGTGGCCATACTCACCACAATCAAGGCATTTCACCTGTCTTGTTGCTTTGCCACTTCTCTCAGTTGGGGCAAGATGCCTGTTCTTCTTCTGTCTGCCTTGTTCTCTCTTCTTCATATCGGGTGGGTAGCACTTGAAGCCCTTGTCCACCTGGGGCCACTGTCCACTATCTGTTATGCTAGGAATAATCCCATTGTATGCAGCCTGGAACTTCTCAACAGAGTAGTAGTTGTTCACATACATGGCCATATTTGGTTGCCTCAGAGTTGTGATTAAAGCCAATGCATGAGGGCAAGGCTTTCCAGTCACTTGCCACTCTCTACATGTGCAAATATGTTGTGTTGGATACACAACATGCCTCCTAACCTCTTCATCTTTGTAGATCTCAGTCACTTCTGCTTCTTCTGGGTGATTGTTAGTCACTTTAAGATGGTCTAAACCCCTGGAAGCTGCATTGAGCTGATGGATAATTGCAGGTAGGATTCCAGGAGGCAAAGCATTAGCTATCTTCCTCCTCTTTGCAAAAAGCCTGAGTGTCTTCTCTCTAATTGCATCAGCCAAGCAGTGAACAGGTAGATCCTTGTGTTCCTTGATCCAAGCATTCCAACTCTCAGCCAGATTATTGTTTATGTAGTCACATTTGATGTATGGACTGAACTTGCTCCTTGCCCACAACAGCTTGTGATGATCTTTGAGCCAGTCAAGCACACTTGGGCTAGCTTCTATTACCTTGTCAAAGAAATGGGTAAACTTGTGTGGTGCATAAGCTCTAGCAGCAGGCCACATGTTCTTGGCATAAACATCACCATGGTAGTACTTCTTCATATTTTCCATGAGATACCTGAAGCACTCCCTCTGTTCATAGTTTGGGAAAACCTTGGCAACTGCAGCTTCAAGGCCCTTGCAAGCATCAATGCAAACAGCTAGCTTGTCCATGGGGCCTATTGCCTTGCTTAGTTGCTCCATAAACCATGTCCAATTTTCCTTAGTCTCAGAGTCAAAAAATCCAAAAGACAATGGGTACATCCAATTATGTCCATCCAAAGCTTGAGCTGCAGGCAAATGTCCATTCCAAAGTCCATTCAATGCTGTTGAGTCTATACTGATATACGGCCTGCAACCATATCTGAAACCATCAATTGCAGCCTTGAAACAGTAGAAGAACCTTTTGAAATGTACCTTGTCCTCCATAGTCTCAGTGTCTATCTCTAATATACTCCCAGGTGATCTCATCTCAACCTCTGTCTTGAATCTGTACAACCAATCAAATGAATCATCCCATTTACCAAACAACTTGTCTGCTGCCCTTTGTCTACCATAAACTACAGTCTGATAGTTGATCTGAATCTTGTACTTATCCTGAAGGGCTTCCTGTAATGCCTTAGGACCCATGCTAGGCTTCTTCTTGAGTAAGGGTATAGCCCTCTCTGCCACCCAAGCCTGAGAAGCCATTGTACACCCCTCCGCTCTTGATCTAGAAGCACAAGTGTGTACATCTTCATTTATCTGAACCTGCAAAAGGATAGAAGAAGCCTGCATAAGTAAAAAGCTGAGAGAGACAATTAAGTCACTAGTACTAAAAAAACAAGAAAATGTACCCTGACACTCTCATCATGTTGTGTCCTAGCTCTAAAAATCCAAGGGCATCCAAGAGCAGCACAGTGTGTCCTATATCTTTTCTTATCAGAATGAGCAGTACCAAGTTCAAACTTCTTTACAATGGCATGCTGGGTATGATATTCCCACAGACAGGTCAGGATTATCCCTGTCCCAATCAAGCACAGGCTCATCTGATACATTGTCATCCACTGGAATAGTAGCTTCACTCATATCCTGTTGCATTTCAGCTGTCATTGCAGGAATAGGTATTGCTTCCCTTGCTGCTTGTTCTGCCCCCTCATCTGCTGCCCTAAAGCCCATTGCCTCATATACTTTGTCCTCATCTGCAGCTGTAGTAGCATCACCATCATGACTTTCATCTTGCTGTATGATCAGATTGGCCCAATTAACTGGTTCTGGTATATCAGGAGGCATAGATGGAGGCGGCGAACTGCATGTATCACCTGTGCCCTCTGCATTATTACCAGGAATTCCACTGCCTTCACCTGTAGTGATCCCAGATGCATATCTACGTGAAGAACTAGCATTACTAGAGGTTGCATGTTTACTGACAACATCAACTACAAGAAAAGCAGCCCTTTGTGCCCATCTATCCTTCACCAACTGCTGAAAATGTTCATCCCTTCTCACTTTCCATTCAGAACCTACACTTTCATTGTCAAGTACCCACACTGATAGAGTTTGTGATGGCCCCCATATGATCTTTGTGGACATGTCATTATGAAATTTCTCAAGAGTATACTGCCCAGTTCTATCCAACCACAACTCATGCTCTTGCTCAGCCATTTCTACTAGCCCATACTCCCCATCGGCGACATAATTAGAAACCTTAACAACTAGCCTAAACGCGTTGCCAGGATCAATCCTAACATAATGCATCAACAAGAAATAAATGAAGAGTTAGAGTACATCCTACACTGCACAGCTAGCGTACAATGGGAGGGACTGATTTAGCTTACCAAACGGGACAACCACTCCAATGCATTGTTTGAAGAATCCAATGCACAGCGGCCTGAGAAGCAGAGAAGCCCAAAAACCAAATCAAATCGATGAACCCTAACCCTAACCCCAAAATCAATTGGCAAACGCGGACCTAGGAGAGGGCCTCGAAGGCACGTACCTTCACTCCAAT